TATAAAATATACATTAAAGTAAATCAGATCTGCCTTAGCTTCACTTACGTTGTCTTTCAAGAACTTGGCATAGGCAAAGCCAAATGAATCTGATGGCAACGCTTCCAAGCTCTTGAGATCAATTGTTTTTGTATTAATGCGTGGCTTTTCGACAAGGATTCGACGTCCTTCCTCACTCGCCTGCATGGTATCCAAAATATTCAACAGCGCATTCTCACCCGTTGTCTCGCCCAGGCAGGCAATCATGTCGTGTCTGCGAAAGTAAACTATGTATCTAGTGTGCCTCATTTACAGCCAGGTATATGCTGTGCCCACCTGTGCGGATTCAGCAATGAGGCAATGGATGAGCCGGCGCCCAGCAACAGCCTTTGAAATGTTGTTATCTGAATGCGTTGCTGCAAGTAATCACGCTCAAAGGCATCCAGCTCCTCTGGCGGAACATCCGTGGACGTCGAGCCGCATCTGCTCAACAGGCTCAAGGTCACGTGGCGCTGCAAGCGAGGCAGGGAGATGCGCCTTAGCTGCTGCATCATTGCTGTAGATAAACATGGTTAAGTGACGTTAACAATAGATGCCGCGAGCTTGTTGACCTCATCACCAACGACTCACTGACTAATTATATATGTGTGACTCGGCTCTTAAGCGCGACCATGAATTACCCTTCCACAGTAGTATACCCCCTTTGCGTAAGCGATTTGTCTATAGACCAAGTCGAACAGATTCGTAAGTAAACATTGCCGCCCCACAAACGGCTTAAGACTCAAAAAGACGAACTAAAATCTGGAAACCGGTTTGCATTTTTCGCTTCCACTCTTTGTTTATATCAAACACAATTGACTCTTCGAAAATACGTTGAACTCGACTCGACCCGTGTACCTATTAGCTTTTATGTTTTATTATTATTTTTTCCTCTCCATCTCTGATGAGTAATTTGAGCAATAAACACGTGAAAATTCTAAGATAAATTAGAAGTAATCGTAATTAAAATGCAAACTATATATAAAGTGTATTTATATATAWTTAAGGAAGATAAGCATTACTGCAGACGCAGAGATAAGCGAGGCTGACAAAGAGAACAAATATAAGAAATGGGCTTTATCAGCGGGCCGTCTAAATTATAGGGGGCTAACATTTCCGTTTTATTCTGGAATCTAAGAGAGAGGGAGAATGGGTTAAGCAGCGCTTAAAGATGTGAAGTGACTGATTGATTGGTTGATTGACAAGGCACACCTAAGGTTCTAAGGCAATAAAAAATAGCTTTTTATCAATAATTACTTTTTGATAAGGGTAATTTCGAGTTGAGACAAATTGTGGGACACAAGTATTTTATGCGTAAATAATAAATTATAAAACTGCTGAATAAACATTTGTACATCATTGTCTAACGAATTAAAAAGATGCATATATTTGAAATAACCCAAGTCGCACATTATAATTTCACGAATCATTCATTCGAACAGGTAGCACATGGGTGAAGTTGTTCTCATAATTGAACAAAGCATTTAACTAAGAAACAGGTAAGAGCAATCGAATTTACGGAGTCGCAGACTTTATCAACGGACAACCTTATCTTAAGTGTAAGCAAATGGAACAAATTGTTTTTTTTTGGTGTAGGTGTAAAAACACACACATAAATATCGATATACACGTATGTGTATATATAGTATATTTTGTTGAGATATATTCAATTAACTATTATGGTTTGTGTTGCTCTTTTATGACACTTTAACATTATGAATTGCGCGAGTGTGATTCAATTTACAAAGACATTTAAATAACATGGGTGCTTACAAATATGCATATATATGCTCAGATATATATAATATTTAAATCCATAACTACATATGTACAGTTTATAGTTTTACAGTATACAATGTGTGCTTCTTTAGAGTGTTTAGTTGCTCTCTTAATCTAGTCGTTGCTCGATGCTCTACATGAAGTTTTTATGGCTTTGGCAGCAGGCTCTCTCACTGATTAGTCTTCGACTAGACGCTCTCTCCCCGAGAGCTAGGTAAGTGGGCTTGCTTATCGGGCGCCTGCTTCCGCCGGAATGTGACGTACGTATAGAGAAGGCTTGCCATCACGCTGATGTTGATGCCAATGCAGTTGAGCCACGAGAATACGTAATCTCCTCCAATGAACATACCCAGATAGGTGACACAGATGTTCTTAAGGCAACCGACGATTGTCGTGGTTAGTGCAGAGTTGAACTGGGTGCATAGAATTGTGCTGTACGATAAGATAAAGCCCATCACACAGCTGAGGAGAAATTGCACAACAAATGCCGGATCGTTCCAGCTGGCGAAATCGATGGCCTTTTGGAGATCGCCCGTCACATAGTTGAGCAACAAGGCAGGCACAAACATGAACAGCGAATTGTAAAACATCAATCCATACTTCCCGATCTCCGAGGTGTCCAGTTTCTTTTTTACAAACACGCCGTTCGAGGCTGTCAGCGCATTGGTGATCATCACGTACGTGTAGCCCTGCATATTGAATGACAGATCGTCGGAGGCGGCTATCAAAGCGCCACCGATCATAGCATAAACGCTTATTTGTACTGCCGTCGTCGGTCTTACTCCAAGTATCTTCAGCTCTAGCAGCATGGTCATCAGGATGGAGAAGCGACGTAATGCAGCGAACATGGGCAAGCTGAGCGCTTTAGTGCCTCCAAGGCCGAAGATCATGTTGAAGCCAAAGATCAAGGGCAGTGGAAAGATCTTCGCAAACGTATTTCGCTGCAGGGGCGGATACGTGACTAGCCTCAGTCGTTTGCCAGCTCCGAGCACTATAATACTGGCCGTTAGCTGACCCAGACTCAGAAAGAGGAACGAGGGAAAGCGATAAGACGTGAGGACGGTCTTATTGACGACGGTGATCATAAACGAGGCGATGCCATAGAAGAGTGCGCTGCCAACCTTCTTCACAAATATTGCCGCATCCGCTTCCTCTCGCTCTCTATCTCGATGGCTACTGCGCAGTTCCTTGGAGCTAACACTGGAGGAGTTATTCAACTGGGCGCCTCCATTTGATTTGCCGCCTGTTTCTTGATCGCTATCATCGCTGTTGTTGCTGGCATCTAGCAATGGGGTTAAATCGAGCGAAGTGCTGCCGCCGCCGCTATTGCCTCCGCGCGGAATGCTCATTTTAATTGCTTTGTAGCGTAATTTTTTTTTCGCTTTGCTCGAACGTCAATTTTTGCATGTAGAGGGAATTTTATTTGTGTGTACGTTTGCTCAGATGCTTTTAAAGTGCTTTGCATTTATATTCACTCCGCACATCTAATTACATATTGGTATTTACTTTATATTTACACTATCTATTGCACACATACATTGTACATGTATTTTTAAATTTGTTCCAGTTGTATTAGCGGTGCGAACCGCTTTATGAAACGGAAAACTATTTTTACCGACGCTCACACTCTCGCGTCTCTCTCTTCTATAGTTAATGAACATATGGCTAGCGGTGTGACCATTGAACACTAAGCCAATAAATACCAAATATAAACGTATGAGAGCCCTTAGTATATCCACTGACCAAAGAACAGTGACTATTTACAGTAAATCAATTCACTTTAATGATACACGCCACAGAAACGAGGTAAATTTGATTGTTTTTACAGTTAACATGGTTCTAGCTTTGCACGCAGTCGAAATAATTTACATAGAAACATGCTTATGGTTATCCAATTCGCATTCGAGCATGAACACCTTGTCGTAACCGGCAGCTCATTATAAATGGTATAAGCCACTTACTTAGAAGCACAGCATATTTTCACGTACTTACTTTCTTATTTAAATTATAAATTAAACGACACTTAATTTCTTTACAATTAAAGCCAAAACACAATTCTGCAATGATTTGCACTCAGCTGTTGCCGCACAGACTATCGATTTCACCAAAAAGTACGGCAACGCTGGTGACCAGCTGTTTTTGTTTTTCGGTGTCTTTAACAAAACTCTGCGAAAAAACTTGTTTGGTTTTCAATTGTGTTGAATTGTAAATTACCAACATGAGCAGCTCGAAGAAAAAGATTAAAAGTGATCAAATACCCAAGCCTATAAACATTAAGAAGGAAAAATCGGAGGAGGATCGAACACTTCATCCTATTTCTCACTACATCGATGATCGCCTTGAGTTGGTCAAACAAATATTTGCTACACTGAAACCAAAGACAATTATGAATTTAGCGCCAGCGTTTTTAAAGGTTAGCTGAATAAAATGTGTAATAGTATGTGGTTAACGATATTTCTTGCAGGAATCTAGCTTGGATGAAGTCGAGGAACTTTGTCTAAATGAGCTGCTTTGCATTTCAACTAAGCGACTGAAGTCAATTATCGAAGACTCGCGTTGTCCCACGGACACAGAGAGCTCTGAGGATTCGGACGTAGAGCACAAGGAGGGTAAGTACAAGCAGCATGCTCACAATACATATATGTTTATATTCTCTGTATTTACAGAGCACATATCGCTAGAAGAGATATCATCGGACAGCGATATCGAGGGCAGTCAGCTGCGTCGTGGTAAGTTTTCAAGTGTATTCATCTGCGCCCCACCCACAAGCTTCAAACACCTAAATGCTAGATAACGTACATTTAATTTTGAATGATCATCAGAAGAGGTATCTGTACAACTGCACGTCATGATTGAATCTACTCGCAGCTCTTATGTGCCATATTTGAATTTCTCGCAATTGAATACTGGGGCCACGTAGAAGGCGCGCAATATGCACACATCTTCGCCGACACCTAACACAACGTTTTCCTCATCTTCCTTGCCAACCTCCAAGGTGACCACGAAGTCACCAACCTCCAGGCAGCCCTTGCGTCGCATGAAATCAACGCCAAACTCAATGGGGCTATAGTTGCATTCGTTCAGATCAGGTGTATAGACAATAGGATGCGTGTTTCGACGCAGATGTAATGCGCGGGCCAAGTCGAATTTACATTTGATGGCGAATTCATCATCGTCATCATTTAGCGGCATCATCATATACACTGGACAATAGATTTCTGAGCGCGCAAGCGCAACACTCGCGTTCTCGCACTTGGTAAACACAAATATCGCTTGACACTCGATGGTGGCAATCGTACGTATGATGAAGTTAACAATTGTCTGATAGGAGGTCAATATGCTCTTCACCTGTTGCTGTGTTTGTACCACACCCACACGGTAATCCCGTATGGGCATCAGTTTCTTAACAATCAGTGGATACTTGTTGCACCACGGACTCTTCTGCATATGTATCGTATCAATTTTCCAGAGGAACTCGTGCAGCTCAAACCGTTTAAAGTCGTTGCAACGCTCTAACGGCACTGTGCCAATGACCGGCTTCTTCTGGCAGTGCGCAATGGGTAGCGCATCCTCCATGATATAGTTGTACACACAGCAGTTTACACTAAACATGTCCGGTATCCAGATATAGTCCAGTAGCTTGATGATGCCTAATAAATCGAGCATGTTATTCCGTACATATTCAAAGTCAATGCAGCCAATCAGTCGCATATCGAACTCGGTCATAATTGCCGCTCGAACTGCGCGAAGGAACGATTTACATCGAATCTTCGGCAACACCACAAAGTTGGCTTTGAGCGCAGCGGCCGCTTGCAGATCGGCCAGATAGAGTTCTGGATATACGCTGGGCGCCAGGGAATGGCATTGGCGAGGTAGCTCAATAAAGTCATACGAGGATAAGAGACCTGCATCGATGATCAACACGGCCAGCGCTTCGTTCAATGTTTTGACCACACGACAACGAATCTCGCGTCCAATTAGCAGCACATCATTTAGCCTTATTGAGCTGAGATAGGCGCGTAGATTGATTACGTAGACGATCTCCCGGAAGCCGGCATACCGATAAGCTGGATCTGTTGTTAGCGTCACCACTGAGCCGCGTGCCAGCATTGTGGTGCAGTTGTTGCGCAACCGACCAATGCGACAGCAATCGCCATTTATTTCAACAGCCAGACCCGTCGCAGTGCGCAGTTCCCTCTCATCCGCATGTGCGGATATGGCTATGTTTAGGGTCTCCAGTATGGCGGCTAGTTCGTCCGGCTTGAAGGCAACCATATCTACGTGAAATGTATAGGTGCCATGCTCGAGCATGCGACGCAGCTCCTCGTGAGTCGTCTCCATGACGACCTTGGCCATCAGACCCATGTGATAATAGCGACGCCTTTTGCGCTTTCGTGCATGTTTCTCGTGCGCATCGCAGGCAGCCTTGAATTCGCGGAGTCTTTGTTCCAAATCCTTTTGTCCATTCAGTCGTACCGTGAACTTTTCGGGCTCCGCTTCACCCTCGGCCTGTTCTAGTTCTCCCTGCTCTGTCAGGCTCGTATTATCAACATCCCCCGTCATCGCAGCCATGGCGTGCAGTCAATTTTAATTTTTAACTAAATGCTTATGCGTAAATTTGAAATTTGCAGCTAACAAATTGCGGAAATCAAGCGCTAAAAGAGCCGATAAAATCAATGAAAATAAGGAACGTAAGTTGAAAAAAAATATAAAGCAAATACTGAATGGCAACAACTGCCTACTCTAACTAAATCCTAAATACAATAATGTTTCAACAACTCACTTTCACCCAGCGGATGGACAGATCAGTGTGCTGGAGCTGCTTGAGCTCCAGGCGAGAGCGCGTGCTATTCGCTCCCAGCTGGCCATGGAGCCCATAACAAAGATCGAGGTGAAGTCGGATGATGATGACGAAGAGAACGAGGCGACCAAGAAGCTGTCGGACAAGGAGAAGCGCAGTCACAAGCGAAAGTCGAACGAGTCGACAGCAAACAAGCCAGCTAAGAATCAGGATCAACCACAAACCAATGGCAATACCAATGGAAAATCAGATCCAGCTCCTACGAAAAAGATTAAGCTGAAGCGCAATTATCGTACGTCCACTAAATCGCCGGAAAAGCAAGCCGTTAGCAATGCAAAGGAACCTGAGAAGAAGGCAGAGCCGGTACTGGAGCAAAGCAAATCACGTTCTGCCTCACCAGATGTAATACCAATACCAACTGAGCCAGAGACACTGCTCATAAGTGACAGCACGGATGACGAGAGCAAGCAACCACCCAAGCAGCCAGTCGCAACAACAACAGCAGCAACAACAACAACAACCGCAACAGCAACGACAGCCGCACCAACTGCAGCAACGGCTCCCGCTGCTGTGTCACCAGAGGCACCTGCTACTGCTCCAGCTCCAGCTCCAACTCCAGCTGAGGAAAGCGAACCCGAAGAGGGCGAGGTGAGAGAGGACAGCGAAAATGAAGCTGAAACGCAGCCAGCAGCTCCCAACGAGCAGAAGCAAGCAACTGAGACGGAAGCGCCTAAAGAAGTAGCAGAAGTATTAGAAAAAAAAGCTGAAGCCACAACAGAGAAAGCAGCCACAGCTGAAGGGGCACCCGTTGAAACTGTGGAACAATCAAATATAAAAGCAGTAGAAGAAGCAGCCGAACACCCCGCTGCAGATGATGAAGATCAAAACGATGATGTCATATCCATCGGCGGCGATTTGGAATTGATTGAGGAACTGAATACTGTAGAAGACGAGCCAGTAAAAGTCAAAAGTGAAGAGCCAGAGAAGGTAGGCGAGCCGGATGAAGAAGACAACGATGTCATATTGCTAAACACCAGCGACGATGATCACGAGAAGCTGCAGGATACAAACTCAGAGGTAATATACATTTATAAACAACATGTTACATTGAACTAAACTAATTCCATTTCTGTGACAGTCATGGCGCACTCGTTACCTGAAGAGCTCCAAGGTCAGTCAGGTGCTAGCAGCCTCGCGGCTGGGCAAGCGCGTGCGTGACAAAATTAAGAAATCGAATCGCGCACAAAAGCGCAACGATTCGAAGTCTGGCAGCGATGAGAAGTCAACGTCTCAGCAACAGCAGCAACAACAAGAACAGGCTCAATTTACCTCGAAGCATGAGGATGGTTCCATAGAACAATATCAGGAACTACTACAGCACCGCCAGCGCAAAAGCTCAAGTAGCAGCAAGGGAGACAAATAAACGACTCAGCGCAGCGATTGTTATTGAAAACTCGCTTAGTATATAGCCAAATTATATGGCATATAAAAATAAATAAAAAAGCAGAAAACAGAACAAAAACTCAAATAAAATAGGTACCAAGCGAACGCACAGAAAATTTGAATATATCGTGTTAAGCGCATATTTGATTTGCCTCCACGTAAATACCCTGTAGACAAAAATTTCGAGAACAGGGGTTTTCAAATTTTAACTGTGTTAAGCGCTGCTGATAAATTTGTAGATGTTTTTTCTTAATAACTAAAGAAATTGGTTTGCTGATATTTATAAAAGAATAATAATCCATTAAATATATAAATAACAAAATTTGTATTTTGGCCACAATTGTAAAATTTAAATAATGAAAGTTTTTTAGGCGAAATTAGCAATAAAAATATTTATATAGTTATTGTATACAAGAAATAAAATTGGTTTTACTGTGGGAATTACTTGGCTTTAATAAATAAATATAAAAAAAAAACTTTGGGAATGTGTAAGAGACAGGGTATATCTTATTCTATCACGCTTAACTTGTTAGGTTATTTATTTTTTTGTTTGCTCGCGTTTTTAGTTTTGTTTATAGTTTAAAAGAATTGCGAAAACTATGCCTTGTCATTTCCTGCGTACATTTAGCTGCTCCCCCTATGAAATAAAACTTTTTGGGCAGCCTTTAACGGGCCGCACGCTAAGCGCTGGTTACGCATACGCATTTGTGTGTGTGTGTGTGTGTGTGTTCGTATTAGTGGCAAGTCGGTGGGTTAGACGCAGGGAGTTATTCAAAAATCATTACCCATATTTGTGGGCTGGTTATACATATATATGTATATATGTATATATTTGTATTTTTTTGCATTTGAATTTAACCCAGTTTAGCTATTGTCAGAGGACTTGACGCGACTCGAGTAGAGTTGAGCCACCCCCGCAGGGTAGAACTGAGGGGTAGGCACAATATCTCAATCATGCTCTGAGCTAAGCGAGTGAGTGTGTGTTTGTGTTTGTGTGTGGCATTTACTTTGAGCGTGTTGCACCATAAACGATGATTGTTTTATCAGAGACTGCGATATGTTGATAAAGTATATTAAAAAACCGTGGAGTGGACCAGCGAACAAACTCTCAGAGAGCATGCAACGAGTGCGCATGTTCCGTGTGCTGAGGGTGACGCTGCTGTGTGTGTGCGTGAGTGTGACGGTGATTGTGTGTGTGTGTAGCGAATCCATCAAGTGGGCGCGCTATACAAATATATAGAGATATATAGGCTCACGAGCAGTTAATAAGCCACACATATAGGGACAAAGCTCATATATGTATATATTTCAATTTATGGTGCAGCCTAAAACTATGCTACAGTTTTTTTAATTTTCGGTTTTACCTCACAAGCAGAGCGCCACGCCTACTGCAGTCGATCGCCCCCGCAACGAAGGTAAACAAAATAGCAACAGAGCGCCGCCAACTGCTCGAATGGGCGTTGGGGGAGCTGTTGTTGGCGGTGGTGGTAATGATGGTGCTGCTGCTGTGGCTGGTGGTGGTTTTTCCAAGACTCTCTCTCGTGCACTGGCTCGGGTTCGCTCTCTCTCGGGCCTGTCTCTGTGTGGGAGTTGTGTGCATCCTTTAGGGCAAACGCGGCGACAGGCTGTGTCCAAATCGAAATTCAGTCTACAGAAAACGCGTACGTGGTGCAGAAGTAGCCGCGCGTGGCCACCACAACGGCGTGCTAGACTTGTCGGTATGATAAATAAGTGAAACGCCCTGTACAAGTTCTGTAAGTTTCAACAACAACAACAACAACAAGAAAGCAACAACAGCTCTATGAAATATATGCAATCTAAAGCCAATCTCAGTGAACAAAAAGTGTTTTTGAAATAACAAATCCAGAAGAAGAATACAAAAACGTGTCCCAGGATTTCTATAAGCCAAATAACACTGATCAAGTGCTGGGCCAAGCAAGTGTTTCAATACATATTATATATATCTCGAAGCAAAAGTGTAAACAAAATAAATCAAGGAATCATAAAGAGAAAACAAATGTTGCAATTTTTCTTAGCTAACGTATTTTTGTTCAACATAATGAAGTTTCATAAACTGATTCTGATCAGAAACACAAAACTCGTAACGTTGCGCGTTTGTTTTCATATAAGTTTACACGTAGGATTAAGGTGCGCTCTCTGACTAGAGACATTGTGAGTTCCACAGCTAAAGTCTACAACAACAATAACAATATCAATACAACCAAAAAATGCTAAACAATATCATAATCCGAAAAACCGCAGTTTAAGCCCTAGTCAAATTATGCGCTATAAACAAATTTGCTTGCTAAAAAAAACTAAAAGAAAAACCAAATTTTAATTGGCAACAAAATTTAATAAACAAAATTACAATTGGCTTTACGAATTGGCAAGATTATATGAACTGTATTGCTTAATGCTTATATACATATATATGTTTATATATACTACGATCCCTTAGTTAATCATCTGAGTGACGTTAATTTCTAGCTGAAATATAAACAATATAAAAGTTACAAATTGGCCTTAAGCACTTGCAGGAAGTTAACGCACAAGAACTATCTAAATGAAGTAGACATACACATATACAATATAACCTATATATACAAATATATATACCTATTTATCCATACAATCCTAAAACATTTATTGCATGCCTTGAGGTTGACAGCTGAAAACTAAGAAAATCCTTGAACCTATCTATTATATTAAAGACATTGGATTATTATTGATTTGGGACAATAGAAATTCTAAATAGCAGGTGTTTTGATCATAGGAAATTCATGAGAAGCGTCTACCTGGTCTATGATAATCTCAATGTCTATATATCAGGGACCGCAAATAAGTGTTACGCATTTAAAAAAATTGAGGCTCAAAAGTATTCCCAAAAAGAGAGAGGAAAACACACATAAGGATATTTTTTTATGGCGAGTTCAAAAAAAGGATAAACTTTTATTGGTAATTTTTTATAAAAAAATTATTTTTAATTATTAAAATTGATTTTTATGATAAAAATCAAAAATAATTATTACAAAACAATTTTATATAAAAATCAAATCATAAGTCTTATATTTGATTTTTATTATAAAAATCAAANTTTTAATTTATCAAAAAATAATAATTATTTTTTAATTTTTTCCTATAAAAGTTATAATCGTTACGGTCCCTGCTATATATAGATACAGCTAAGGTATCATTTTTGTTATGTTCGACTTTTTAGCGTCTTCTTTTTTGGTATATAACATATAGACCTACTTAACAACGTTCCCTTCGTTTATTAGACAGTAAATTTAAAAGGTTTTTCGATCATAAATTCTGCAATGGTAATTATTTCCTTTTTTTTTTTTGGTAGCAATCCACTTTTAGGCGCTCTAATGCACATCCCACTTTGACGTGGACATGACGCACACAAATAAACAGACACACACACACACGGAAAGTCAAATAATCGCACACACACATACACATATGACTGGGAACTTATGAAATTTAATTGGACTCATAAATTTTTGTTTGCTTGAGCTTTTCAATACCCTGTAAACATTAAAAAAACAAAAACAAGCAAAGGGGTTTTAAAAAGTTGTGTATATGGTATCTCCTAGTGCTATAAACAGTGGGCTAATGATAACATTATATAAATAAAATTATCCTGTTTAAGTTTAATAATACTTAGGCGAAATACTGAGTAGTCAAAAGCAGAAAACAGAGCATTACTGAGTCAAAAGTTCTTATATATACTTTACCACAACAAAACCGACACACTCTTGTTGGCAACAGGGTATGCCCTGGTCTATCACGCCTGCCAACTGACTCTGTTTTATTAAAGAAACGCACATTTACACAACACATACGTCTGATATATATGTCATAAAGTTTTATTAATAATGAAAATTGTACTAAAAATGGTGGGGCAATTTATTAAAAAGTCTCATTAGTTGACAGTCACACACACATACACACACACACATCCTCACACACGCGTTTTATTGCGCATTACGCATACGCCGCGAGAGCCCTACGGGTGCTAATAACGTAAAAATAATAATAATATTACGAACGACGTACACTAAAAACAAAAAAACAAAAAAAAAAGAGAGCCAGCGAAAAATGGCGATAAAGTAAAATTTCGATATGGACATTATTAAAGAGCTACCCTGCCAATCCCCAAGCGCAACCCCACAAGTGGAGGGTGGCTGCCATAATAACTTCGCTGTGAGATTAAGTATTTTTAATGCGAATGCCAATAAAAATATAAAAATTTCAACGATAAGCAAGATAAGATCGAAATCAATTTCGTTATAATGCACCCACACACACACGCACACACACATATATATATATATATTTTTGTGTGGGTGTTTGTCCGAGCCTGATAAACATTCAGCCAATCATTTATAGCCTGCGCCGCTCTGCCATTCATTTTACTTTATTTTATTTTGTATTTTTTCTATTTTTTTTTTTCTTGTTGGGTTTTTGTTGCGCTCTCCTCTCGAAGTCAAAATCAATAAATTTTCCACAATTTTTCCGCCACATTCTCATTTGGTTGTGTTGCTGCCTTTGGGCAACTGCTCTGCGCCGTCGCTTGGCTCATTATTAATATTTTTACATTTTGTATGCCTTTTGATATTTGTTGTTGTTCGTATATACATGCATAGAGCAAGGCGCCAGTCGCACACCCGACCCAGCCAGCCGTTTCGACCACTGGGCGGGCTGCTTAAGTGTTTTTCTATTATGGCCTGCCCATTTCTCTCCATTTCCCCAGTGCCTTTTAGCCCACCAATATTATATTTGCTTTTAAATATTTTGATATACAGCACAGTTGAGGCTTATAACTCGGCCCATGCACACATACATACAGAGACGCTTACCAGTTGCCCAGTGGGACCGAAGGACTAGTGTTTACCTATACATTTTTTGAAAGGATATGCTTTAGATACCTTCATAGGTGGGGAATCTATATAGAGTCTGTTAGCTATAGAAGCAGCTATGTAGGCAACTAATACTCTTTCAACTTATTTACTATTGTCATTGCTAACAGAAATGCTGTTTCAAGTAGGTCCTTTAGCACGTCTTTTTGTAAGAATTTTACATTCATAATATTAGCTAAATTAACTTTCCAGAAATACTCACTGATTTACTCTATGAACTGCTGCAGAGTTAAGCGAAAGCCTGCATTGAGTACTGCCTTTTTCATGCATCTGTTTCCCACTGGGTATTCAAGTAAACAGACTCACACACACATACATACAGATACTTCAACCAGCAGCAGTTGAGCTGGCAGGCATTTTCTCATAAAAATTTCGTACTCGAATAAGACGAAGTAGCTGCACACACACACACACACACAAATACAAAGACACTCTTACACACACACACAGAAACGAACCGAGATGGAAAAAGTAACCCGCAAGGCATGTGGGCAGACCGGAGAAAGAGAGGGGGAGAGAGAGAGGGAGAGTGAGAGCGAGGAGGGGGCCACAAACTTTGAGCCAGCAGCACAGCCAGAAAAGCAAGAAGAAGAAAAAAAAGAAAAGTAATGTAAAGGATGTGCCATGACGACGTGGACGGAGACGAGCGTAACTGGAAAATAATATTTTTGCCTCCTTTGGCCCAACTACTTTTGTGCCGCAGCCATGTAATTCCCTTTTTGTTCACCTACTGCTGCTGCTGCCTCAGCTGTAGCGGCTGCTGCTGTTGCTGTTTCTGTTGTTGTTGTTGCTGTTGCTGCTTTCTTTGCGTTTCTTTTGAGTGTCAGAAATGGAAAAGAAAATAATTTGATGGTTTCATAAAGTCGTTGCAAGAGGAGGTTGGGGGGTGTCTCTATATGTATCTGTGTGTTTGTGTGTGATAAAATTGCAAACTTCCCCTCGACATATGCTTGTAACTGCGCGCGTGTGTGTGTGAAAATGAGTGGGAAAGCGTAGCAGCAAAAATTTATGGAATTTTTGTTGCTGCTAGCGCTTACTTTTTCGCATAGTTTGTGCAAAATTTGCGATTTGTGCGATAGATTTCACTTGTGCGCTCGAAATTATTTGCTGCATACTTTTAGGGGTTGGCTGTTTGTGTGGCAGATAACGATGCCGATGACGATCGCTGCTCGCCCAACCCCACCACCACCACCACCGCCATCACCATCCCCCCCCCAACACACACACATAAGGCCAAAACTTGGCTGAGATACACTTGCATTATTATAAAAATGATTATTATTTGCGCCGCCCTTGCCCAAAATAACCAGCAAACACACACACACATACAAGCAAATGGCTTGTGTATATCTGGCAGACCCACAAGCACACACATACATATTTATATACTCTACATGCTTGTCCTTGTCTCTAAGCGTGTGTGTGTGTGTGTGTGCTTCATTATTAATTTTTCTTGTATTTTTTCCACATTTTTCGTATTTTTATTTTATCATGCCACACAGCAACACATACGTACATACGCTTGGGGGATGGAACAAACACACACACAAGCTCATACACACACATACAGTCACTCATTTTAGTTTATTGTACAAATAATATTTGATAGAAAAAATGTAGTGTCTGAGCGGGATGGAAATAGCCGCATTCGCACTCGCATTCACATTCGCTCTCTCTTTCTGGCTGGCCAAATTAATTTTTCACTCTTGTTCGCCATTTCTCCAATCAACAGCGAGATGCGAATATAGCAGAAATGTGAACGAAAAATATGTATAAAAATTTAACATAATGAGCCAGAGTCGAACACTAAATGATGTCCAGTATAACTA